TGAATGGCCATAGGGGTTTAGTTTTGAATGTTGCATGTGACATTGTCACGCAGCAGACATGCATTTTCTTTTCTGAAGCAATGAAGCAGTCTCCATTGTGTGGGTGTTTTTCTCAACAAAAAAAAAAAAGAAAAAAAAACGAGAACAGCGGAGCTGCAATCAGGTTGAGGTAATTAGAAAAGGCAGCAGGGTGAAGAACTTCAGCACTACTCATTTGCAGATTTAATCAGTCATAAGTCATTACATCCTAATGTACACAGAGAATATCAAGCAAATATAATTACCGCACAACAGCCGCAGTAACCTAAACCCGCTAAACAATGAAATCACTTAACTAGCACAAGGTTATTTCAGAAGGAAAGCATAAGTATCAGACGTGGACCAGACCAAATCTCAGTTCTCAAGTGTTAAAGACCAAAGCTTTTGCTGGCTATTTGAACACAATTTCCCCTCCCATTCAGTTGTGAGACATTTGTTGAGGCGTTTTTACCACTAGTATTCTTCCACAGTCTGATACACAGTCAACTGATGACCGCTTTGTCGTCAACTCGCTGGGTATTTTAAAAAAGGTAAGAACCTATAAGATGTTGGTTCATTTTGGAACACAAATATACTTAAAGGGATAGTTCACTTTGAAATAAATTTTTGATATGTTTTAGCTTACCTCAAGGGCATCCAAGATGTAGGTGTCTTTGTTTCCGCAGTAGTTTCAATTTTGATATTTTTAGGTCAAACCGTTCTTGTCTGTCAGTCATATAATGCAGGTCTATGGTCACCACCTCAAAGAGCATGCACAGAGAAGTCCAAATTAAACATGATTTAATGACTCGTAAATGTAAGTACACATTGATGGCCTAAGACACGAAACGAGCGGTTTGTGTGAGAAAACGAACAGTATTTATATCGTTTTTACCTCTTGTAAACACAGCCACGTCCAAGTGATTTGAGGGCGCGGGCGCTTCGGTCTGTGCGTTACAGAGGGTGCAAAAATATATAAACATTGAGAAAAATCGCGAAATGGACAACTTTAAAGGCGATTTTTGGACATTTGTTTATTATATCGCAATCGCATATCGCAATATTGACCTCATTAATCACAATATGACATTTTCCCCAAATCGTGCAGCCCTAATGATAATACAAATATAAATATATTTTGAATTTTGCCTGTTGGTTATTTGTAGGCTTTGTAGGATTCTGATACCTCCTTGTTGCTTATCTATTGTCTCTGCTTCAGCTCTCTGTATGATACTATGCTGATTTCTTTTCCCATTTTATGTAACGTGGCAGCCACATTTGTCATCATGCTCTTAGATCTTCTGATAAATGGAGTGTCAATGTTTGTCTATTGAGTCGAAGTCTGGCTGCTCAGTTGATGAAAATTTAGTTTTATGCTCAACATTGTCTGTCTGTCTGTTAGTTTATCTATCTGTCTGTCATCCAAACGTCTGTCTGAATGTCAGTCTGTCGGTCTAAATGTCTGTCTGTACTGTAAAAAGTGCTATATAAATGAAGGTGACTTGACTTGAAAGTAAGACAGACAGTCTGTCAAGTTAAGTCACCTTCATTTATACAGTGCTTTTTACAATACAGATTGTTTCAAAGCAGCTTTACAGTGAACGGAACAGAGATTGTTTTGGCTGTACAGCAGATATAGAAGAAAGTCATTGTCCAGTTTAAGTAAGTTTCCGTTGTAAAACGGAAAACTTTTAATGCAATATGTTTCAAAGTGCAAGTTTTTGAAAACGATACCGTTATCATCTCCGTGTAAACTTCAAAACCTTGAATCTGTGAAAACAGTCACGGCATGCACAATGCATATTACTTCTGTCTAAATGTCTATCTAAATATCTGTATATCTGTTCGTCTAAATGTCTGTCTATCTGTCTGTCTAAATATGTTGGTCTGTCTGTCTAAATATCTGTCTGTCTGTCTGTCCGTCTAAATATCTGTCTGTCTGTCCATCTAAATAAGTTGGTCTGTCTGTACGTCCGTCTGTCTGTCACAAATGTGTAATTGGTCATGATATCTTATTGCATTAGCCAAAAATTCTAAACTGCTACATCCAGGTTGATCTCACGGGAAAATGAAACTGTTACGAGGTGGCGATTTCATATGAATTTGTTCGATGTGAATTGTACAAAAACGTATTATTGAAAGAAAAAAAAGTAAGCATGAAGGTCATGCTTAGACACATACATATACCTATATATATATATATATATATAAATAAATAAATTAATTAATTAGATCAGGGAAGGAGGCAGCGGGAACCCGCAAGCAAAAGTTAAATTAAATAAAACAAAAGCGGAAGCCACCTCATGACCAACTGCAGCATAAACATAAACAAAACCACAGCATGGCTTGACTTGATTGCATGTTAGAGGTTGTATCTGGGTCACGTCAATCTAAAAAAAAAAAAAAAAAAAAAGGGTCGCTCTTAAAGTAATTTTGAAAACCACTGTCCTAGATGGTACTAAACACAATAGGCTAAAGTGATAGGGGACAAACACATTGAACACATATAAAAGCAAAGAACTCTGACCTGAAAACTATTAAAAGGCAACAGTGTTCAACTGACCCCACTTACAATCTATACAACATAAAACACAAATCATTGATCAAGAACTGCAAGATGCAATGACGGTCAATAAGCCACATGTGTGATTTGGCCTGGCGGACAATATAGCCAGCATGTGTCATGTTTCATTTTAAAAATGAACTCCAACTGCAACCCTAGCATCTACTGCCAGTGTTTTCATTATGCAGGTCATACGGTCTTGTCTCTCCTCTGAGAACCGGTGTTAAATAATGGCCTGGCATCCGGATAACTCAAGATCCAAGATCCATGTTAATGCAAGTTGTGTTTTTGTACTTGTGAAACCGGTACTGAAATTGGTGTAGGATTTACTTTGAAACTATATTTACTCAGAAATTGCTAAATTTCCAAATGACAAAGACATGGCAAGTAACATTGAATTAAACATAACATTTTTAAGTTGAAAGACTATCTGTCTGAAAACGTAATCAAATTAGCTTTGTTTTATTTACAACTTCGAAAATATTACAGTGAGGTCATTTTAACTACACCATGAATACTGTAAAAGCAACGCCTCATTTTATTCTGATGTTTCTTAGTGTATTTTAGTAGCTGAACTCTAAACTTAACATTATGCACAAAACTAAAGTAATTGAGACTTGACTGATTAACCAGATTTTCCATCTGACATTCCACCAATCAAAAAAATAATAATCCAAAAAATTCCTTGAACTAAATAGTTCTATAACAATAGATTAATTTTAATTAGTCTCTCATAGATCTGCACTGTTGGTGTGTTTTAGCACAACATAGGCTATGTGTCTGCCGGGTCGTCTTGTTGTTCTGCTAGCTAGTTTAAAACTGCACACATAGTCTCTAGACACTATTTCCCATCATAGGCATTTTTTCTATACTCCAGAAAATGTCCCATTGTTCTCGGATTGATTCTGTCACACTGCTTGTTGTTGTCATGCTGGAAAATCTCCCAAATACACCCACTAAGGCACATAGTCACCCACACACAAACTTGTACATATATACTTGCAGAAACCTAATTTATGTAATTATACGAAATTTATTAATAATAACTTTACTACTTTTTTTTTTTTCAATGCCAGGGGATGAAGACTAAAGAGGCAGGCAACATATCTTTTGCCTCCCAAAAAAAAATGTATATGTATATGTATATATATATATATATATATATATAGATAGAGAGAGAGAGAGAGAGAGAGAGAGAGAGAGAGAGAGAGAGAGAGAGAGAGAGAGAGAGAGAGAGAGAGAGAGAGAGAGAGAGAGAGAGAGAGAGAGAGAGAGAGAGAGAGAGAGAGAGAGAGGATAAAAATATTAATAAACACTATTACAGTAGGCTTAGGCTACATGATAACAGTGAAATGGACCAATTTGAACTGCTAATAAACTGCTAATAAAAAGGTAAACAATTCACCTTCTCAGAAGAAATTAACTTGAATTACAAATCTGTGAGTGTATGTAGTTAACACATTTTAAAAGCTACCATCATCACCATCCACCATCAGTAGCTACACTACAGTTTAGAGGATTTGTTAAATATAATGTGACTAATAATAATAATAATAGCCAAACAAAGAATTAACGAAAATACTTGATGAAACATTCGAAAGCATTTTAATATTTTTTTTTAATATACATACAGCATTGGTTCCTTGTTGATAGCACATCAGTCTTTCACCAAGAAACCATGTAAACATCAAATTGAACTGGAACATGAATTTCTGTTTAAGAAACAACCAACACTTTGCATCATTCCAAAGGCAGCACACAACACTGCCTTGAAGATTTTAATTAAACCCCATTTATGGCAATCCTCACAATTGGTTTTTACTGTTTTTTGAGGACATTTTCAATTTCAAAGCACACCATATTCATGCAACTAACAAGACTGAAATCTTGAAATGAGTCTATTCATTTACAACTCCCATCCCTACCACATGTTCTCTCAAGCCTGCTCACCTGGCAGACAAAGAGCTCTTGGATGTCTCGTAGATACCATCAGCACTGCACTTCAGGGCTGCCTTAAGGTATTTAATTGAACTTCAGCAAGCACAGCAAATGAAGCGCCAGTGAACACAGAAGGGCAGGGTTATGGAGCGCATTGAACTCAACACTGCGTGTGTTTTGAACGCCAGCACAGGGTTTACAAGCAAAAGCACTCAGATGTTGTGCAGCCATCACTGCAGAACTGCACAGCTGGATCACGCGCTCAAATCATTTCATATCGCGTCCGTTTCTTACATCGTCTCCACAGAGGCGACGGAGCAACGTGTAGTAAGTGACTGCGAGCGTGAATGTGGCTCAATGAAAAACAAACACGCAAAAAAAAAATACGCATGTACTCATAGTATCCCGCAATTTGAGGCTTATTAAATATTGCGTTCGCAAAACGCTGCTATTATAAAGGGCTCGTGCGCGAACGGCTTACCTGAGAAATCAGCCCGCGTTCATTGTTCTGTTAATGGGGTAATATATTCCTCTCGGTCCCTTCCAGTCGATATTGTTTGCGTGCTTTGATAAAGAGAGAGCTGGAGACGTGGTGCGTGATCGGTAGTGATGCTCCAGCGGTAACGGGCGACCGTGTAGTCGGTGGCTTTGATTCCTCCGGCTCTCGGTGTTATCATCAGATGAGTTTAGTGTGGAGGGGGCGGAGCCTCTGAGCTGATTCTATACACACAGCGCTTGATTGACAGGTAGGGGGCTAGCGGCGCTCTAACCATCTCAGCCGATTTACCCACTAGCTTTCAGTAAGAATATCCTAAAATGATAAATAGACTATAGTGGCCATAAGGTTGGTGTGTAGAGCTTCCCTTAGTAACATAGTGTTTAGCCCATGCAGCACGACTGTTATTTTACTATTTTAAAGTCCCCCTGTTGTGAAAATCAAATTTGTTTATATTTCTAAGTGGTGTTTTTGATATGCTTTAAGACTAATCATATGCTAGTATTTTCTCCTTTAAACTGCAGCTTGAACAAAAAAACGTGGTTTGAAATCGATGTTTCTGACGTCACAAACTACCTTGTAACCAATCACATCAACATGTGATAGTCAACGAGTTGATCTCTGAGCTGGTGCGAGTGAGTGGAAGCGGGGCTAATTTGCATATTCATAGAACCGCGTAGGCTATATTAAATTAGGAAAGGTTGTATTCAAAATATTTTAAGGCATTAAGACATTTGTTTTGTTGTGCTTTAAAGAAGTACTGTTGAAATACTGAAGTAGAAGTACTTTTGTAGATTGCAACCAGGTTTGTTGATAAGGGAAGGAGACAGGATCCGTCGAACATTAAACATAAATTGGTAACACTTTAGAATAATGGTCCGTCATTAATAAGTAAGGAAGTAATGGACTAATGAGTAGTTCTATAACACTTCAGCTACTACTATTATCTAATATGGAAACAATATTAACTAATCAGTAAGTAATATTGAATTTAGGACTAAGATAGTTCTTTATTATGTAATCAATAGTTACTTAATGAGATTGGCATTAGGAGGTAATTATGACAAATTATAAAGAATTACTAATTAATGACTAATCACAACATTATCGTGTCTGAGAAGTTAGCGATTATCTTTCAACATGGTCATAAAATTCCTCACTAATTACTCAAGTGTTACCTAGTCACTCTTCAAGGACTTGTGATCTGGACCATTATTTTAAAGTGAAAAATATGTTTTACACTTTAAAATAATGGTCCAGATCACTAGTAGTTCCTGCATAGTGACTAGGTAACACTTGAGTAAATAGTGATGTATTTTATGACTATATTCAAAGTAAAAATCATGACTGATTACGTCTCAGACACACGATAATGTTCTTTATAATTTGTCAGTTAGTTAATAATTAATTAAGCTAATCTCATTAAGTAATTATTGATTACCTATAAGGAATAATCTCCTAAATTTTATATTACTTACTGATTAGTTAAGCTTGTTTCTTTATTAGTTAATAGCTGAAGTGTTAATGTAGAACTACTTCATTACTTCCTGCATAGTTACTTATTAATGAAGTGTTACCCATAAATGTAATAATAAAATAAACATAAACAACAAAACAAAAGTAAAGCGGCAGCCCCTCACAGACGACTGCCGCATAAACTGAAGCAAAACAAAAAAACATAAAGTCCCTATACATTGGATTACTTGTTTGTCACTTCCATTTTCACATAAAAGCAGCAATATTTCAAATGTATCACTTCCTTTGCAAAACAAATGTGAGCACAATCTTTATGGGTTGTCTAACTTTCCGACTGTTTTCATTCCTCCCCTGACTGTATTAGCAAGCGGCTAATTATAGTTCAAGACTTATTTTATTAGGTCATACACATTTACAAAACCTTGAATTATGCATGATTTTGTAAGCATGCAATGCGTGTGTTAAAAATACTACTGTGTCATCTGAACTAACAGTTATCATGAAAAAAAGCTGGGTGTGATATTGCAAGAAGCTTTTGCTATATGATACGCTGTGGTGGAGCATTAGCTAACCTCCCTTCGTGAAAACAGTCTGCTTCTTAATTGTTTCATTACTAAATGTCAATAAGTAAATGTCTTGCCAGTGTGCGGTTATTCATTCATTTGTGTGCCATTACAAGTGATTGCTTCATTGGCAGCACAATTATGTTGATGCAGTGAAATTCCGGCTATGACTGCATGTGTTATTTGATTGGAAAGGTCATCGGGGAAGAGAGACCTACTGTAGATGACAATGCTTGCCACACTGGTGGTGTTGATGATGGGGGGAGTGAGTGTACAATTGCTCCTCCAGGGGGATAAGGAAATTGAACCATTTGTTTGACATTGCCACTGAACACCTGTGAGGAAAAAAAGAAGAAAATACTCTGTCAAGGATGTATAATACAGGTGGTTTAATGTGTACCCAGCTGCATTATGTTAATCCAAAACTTCAAAACGTCATAATTTACTCAAACAATGCAACATGGCGTTAACAACACTGAGATCATGAGTTTGATTCCCAGGGAATGCATGAACTTAGTAAAATGTGCAGCCTACTTTGAATGCAATGGAGGTTGCTTTGAATAAAAACGCCTGCCAAATGCATAAATAATTAAATGACTCGGTTTCCGCAGAGTGAATAAACTAGTTTTTTTATCTGTTCATGATACAAAGTAATTAAGTTTAATTTATGTTTATTTAGCGCTTATCACAATACATATTGTTTCAAGGCAGCTTCACAGAAAATTACATCAAAGTCCCTTTTAAAGGAAAGTCTGTTCACTGGTCAAGACAGCTCCAACTCCAGCTATTTTTGGCATCCAAGTCATATGTATTTGAATATGGAAATCATGAAATCTTAAAAACTGCTTGCCATACTCAAATAACATATTTCAAAACGGCAACAAAAGCTTACATGGACTGACCCATAAATGTTGTTTCTTATGCTCAAATAGCGTTAACAAGTGCTGTCCTAAGCACATGTCTCAGGGCACAACTGTTTCAATAACACTTTATTTTGATGATCCCCTTTAGACATTCTTTTGACTAAGTAACGTTGAACCTATGTCAATTAACTCTCATTAGAGTATTAGTAGACTGTCTGCTTCATATACACTTTATTTTGATGGTAACCCAACAGACTTTCTACTGACTATAAGTAACTTCGCAAGTACATGTCAACTTATTCTACTAACCCTATCCCTAACAGTATTCTAATTCTCAACTTAATACACCAATGAGAATTAGTTGACATGTAGGTGCAATGTCACTTAGCGTCAATGGAACAGAATGTCTTAAAAGGGATCTATCAAAATAAAGTGTAACCACTGTTTCTATGGAAAACTGAGCTTCTAGCTGCAGTGACGCAATGACCAACTGGCGATTGGCTGTTTTATTAAGGCAGGACTTATTCCACCATATTGCACTTTCCCCCCAATATCCGTGCACTCTCTCTGTATATCTAAAGTGTTCAAAATGCATAATGTAATGTTGCAATCAGGTAGTAAAGCACTCCACTCAAATCCAGTGGTTTAATCCAAGTTGCCTGAAGCAATACAACCATTGCATTCCATTGATTCAATTTGTGTGGATTACATTCAGGTCAAATTAAGTACGTTTTATTTGAATATGGTAAATGGTAAATGGACTGCATTTATATAGCGCTTTCACAGACCCAATGGCCACCAAAGCGCTTTACAATTTGCCTCACATTCACCCATTCACTCCCTCATTCATACACCGACGGGCGACGGCAGCCATGCAAGGCGCCATCCAGCTCATCGGGAGCAGCTGGGGTTAGGTGTCTTGCTCATGGACACCTCGACACTTGGTCAGGTGGAACCGAGGATTGAACCACCAACCTTCCGGTTTGTAGACAACCAACATGAACCACTGAGCCACTGCCGAATAGCACTTTTCACAATACACCTTGTTTTAAAACCATGATGTTAATGTTTATAATATCTTAATACCTTCATGCCTTGTAGTCACATTTAGCAGATTTGAGCTGGGCGATGATATAGTTTATTAAATGAACTCAATTCAATTTGCCTTGTATAATGCCACCTTTATGTCCTTTCTTGAATCCAATGAAATTCATTGTATAAACCAAAACAGCTGAAACATTCTTCAGAATATGTTATTTTGTGTTCCTTCAAGTCGTTTGAGTTTGGAACAACATGGGAGTCATTAAATAATGACAGAGCATTCATTTATAGATGAACTGTCCCTTAAAACTTGGCTTTGATATGGCCCAGTTTGAGTGTTCTGGGTTAAAACCAGGTCTAGACTCTGCACTGAATATCCATCCCCTTTAAAGGAATCTCTCCACCTTCTATCCATTTCCACCCAGTAACCCCTCATTAGTCAAAGCCTCTTCTCCTTTCCTACTTCCTTGCCTCTCACTGGGCCGACTTGTTGGTAGCAGAACAAAGTTATAGCTGCTTCTTCTGTATTTTCCACCTCATTACCTTTTAAATCTACTGAGCTCCTGTATCCTGTACCTTCGAAATGTTACTGCTAGCTATCCTTACTTTGTGCTCACATCAAAGATGAGGAGCTTTAAAGTCTCAGCACTTTTGGAGACAGCACATAATGTAGGGAGGGCCTAAAGTAATGAGACTTTCCCTCTGGATGACCAAGTGTTATTTATCAACGCAAGCCATTTGTTCACCACTGTGGTAAATGATCCTGCAGTATAATGGTTTACTGTATAGTTTATTTGTAGCTCATTTTCTGTTCCCCATATGCTCTCTCATCTCCATTAGCATACACTTGCGAACTTGGATCAAAGAATAAACATCAAGCAGAGGTTCTTTCTCTTGCTCGTTCTTTGAATAACAGAATTATGGTGATCAGGATCACTTAGCATCTTCATTATCATCACAGTCAGTTACTCTCCAATCAGCTCATCAGCATCGTCATCCTTATAATCATCTGCAGAACAGTATATTCTGTCTGTTTAATATTTCCATTTGTGACTCACAGGAAGTAAAGAAGAGAAAATGTGTTGCATCATTAATGTTTCCCTAACATCTGGCCAGTGCCCTGATTTATTTCTGTCTGTTATGTTTAAGGATGATAATTAGGGCAGTTTGAGAGCCGAATGAGGAACGGTAACCATAGGGACGGAGAGATTTTGTCACTCAGGCTTTTTTG